CCCTGTCCGACGTCTCCCTTCACCCACTTTTCTGTTGTCCATCCCCCAGGGAGGAGGTCACATATAGTTTCTTGTAATTGGTTAATTTTCCTACCCACTCTCCCTCTACCCTCCCTGTTTTGCCACTCACAACACTGGTCCTGTCATTATCTTTTGTATGTATTTCTGGGTACTATTTATAAAGATTTGTTTATTACTATGCACCTTTATTTATGTATGATAGTGTCCCCTCATTTAAAAAATACTGTTCTTAGGAACATCAGTATGATATTTCCCGTGAGATTATTATATATTTATTGTCATCTATTTACACCTTATACAAGGGTGTTTTTGACATGGGATTTCTTGTGTCTTGGGAGCTTTGGTTATTAACTCAACAGCATCACCGGGAGTGGGGAGGAGGGGAGGAATGGGTATTAAAAGATAATAGACAATAACAAAGCCCATCACATCTTGCTAACTTTTCACAGACCAGTATCATAGGGATCAAGACTAGCTAACAAAAGGGGTTTGATAAATTGTAAAATAAGAATATTTTTTATAGAAACACTGAATTTGTGACAGATTTTCTTCTGTTAGGTTTCAATTTCCCCCCATTTACATTTGAAGCACCAAATACAAGCTGCAACAGAGGAGTCCATTCTGACTCAGAGCAACCTCACAGGGCAGCACAGAACTACGGTAGCGTGTTTCTAAGGCTGTAAACCTTTCCGGAATCCTGCAGAGCGGTGAGCTTCAGACTGTAGACCGATGTTTAGCATCCAAAGACTTTCTGCTGGGGGAACCAGGTCTCCTTGAAGAAAAAGAATGAAAGTGATTATCATTATTTATAGCAAAGTTTATCAAACAATCAAGGGACTCTGGATTGTTCCATAGGATGAGAAGTTAAAAATGAAAGTGTGACAGATATTTCTAGTTATTAGAGGATGAAAATTCATTTTATGGGATCTTCTTTCTCCTGATTTTTTCCATGATTGACAAGAAGGACAGCATGGCTCTCCAGGTAAGGGACACCATCCGCAGCAGCAGTGAGTCCCTGCTTCCCCCTGTGGAGCTCTGCTATGAGAACGTGAACGGATCCTGTGTCAAGTCTCCCTACTCACCGGGACCCCGCGTGCTTCTGTACGTGGTCTTTGGCTTTGGGGCTGTGCTCGCAGTGTTTGGAAACTTCCTGGTGATCATTTCAGTCCTGCATTTCAAGCAGCTACATTCTCCAACCAACTTCCTCATTGCCTCCCTGGCCTGTGCTGACTTTTTGGTGGGTGTGACCGTGATGCCCTTCAGCATGGTCAGGTCTGTGGAGAGCTGCTGGTACTTTGGGGCTGGTTTTTGTACTTTCCACACATGCTGTGATGGGGCATTTTGCTACTCTTCTCTCTTCCACTTGTGCTTCATCTCCATCGACAGGTACATGGCTGTTACTGACCCTCTGGTCTACCCGACCAAGTTCACTGTGTGTGTGTCCCGAATGTGCATCAGCATCTCCTGGATCCTGCCCATTGTGTACAGCGGTGCCCTGTTCTACACAGGAG